GCTATCCCTGGACTTCAGCCTTTCCGGCCAGCGGAACAGAAGGTGTTTCTCCTGATGGCCTTGTCCTCTGCAAACACCCAGCTGCCACCAACTTTCCCTGGGCCAAGGTGAATCAAAAGCACCCTTTTGCTTCCAAAAGGCACCTTCCCCTGGAATAAACCATGCCAGGGCAGGACAGCTCTGGCCCGAGCAGCTGCAGAAGTGGCTTAAAGAATGCAAAGTCCCAGTCTGAGTTATTGGAGCCCATGGACTGTGGCCTCATCCTTGTGACCATGGCAGGAAAACACCAAGCACCGTGAGGGATGTTGGGAACCAAACCCTACAAATACGTCCTTGTCTCGACTCCCACCAGATGTTTCCATGCCCAAGCCCAGCAGACCAGGAAGGGCCATGCTGGAGGGTGGCAGGTGATGAAGGTCACTTTGCCTTTCCACACCCGTGTCAAGTCACCCAGAGAAGCCGGAAAAGCCGTTTTGGTGCTGCCACCAGCCGGAGCCGCGGCTGCCAGCACAGCCTGGAGCTCCTCCACCCACCTGGCCCCAGCTCCCTCGCTGCTGGGCCCCTTCTCACGTCCTTTCAAAGCAAAACCTTGAAGGCACACAGGCTCTGCAGAGGGCTTTCCATATGGTAAAAGTTTTCCCCAGTCTTTTTTTATTATTATTATTTCCTAACAGCAGCTCTTGGCTTAGCTTTTGGTAACAAATATTGCAGCTCAGACCATTTGGGAAACAGCCCAGACTGCAGGACTGCTTTGGAAAGAGAATAAAACAGCAGAACCCCACAATGGGAAACGGAGGCACTGGATATTTACCGTCACCGCTTACGTTGAGGAGAAGTCACAGCTCCTCTGTTCCTGCCAAGGACCAAGCTGTAAAGAATTAGGGTCAATCCATCTGCTTTCTAAGCCACACCGAAATAAATAATTCAGTAGCTCAGGGTGTGGACGGGGAAGATAAATTTCTTTAACACTCAAAGCTTCGTGCATCCGTTCCCAGCAGAGTTACTGGTTTTCCTTAACCCAGACCCAAGGAACCGCTGTGCAGTACATCGGATCCTACTGAAGTCACTGATAAAGAGCAGCACTTTTGCGGCACGGTGAGGATTCACGCACGGCGCGAGTCTCTGGAGAGGCTCCTGGCAAAGCCAAGCCCAATAAAATCAAACAATGTCTTGGGGAAACAAAAAGTGCTGAGTCAGGCTCCCAAAAGGAAGCGCCTGCACAAAAAGAGCGTGTTTACCCGCATGCGGCCGGGTAAAGGGCTCTCAGCTTGGGCAACCAACTCCTCCTGCCAGATCACGCAGCACAACACTCAACACGACGGCTCAGAGCAAAAACCACTACAGCGACAGCCGAGACAGCTCAAGCGACAGCCAACTCCACCTTCCGCAGCCAAAAAATCCCTGTGGATCCATTCCACGAGCGGCTGTGAGCGAAGAAACCCACGATCCATGCGAGCGGCCTTAAAAGTAGGAGAGCTGCCGAACGCTGGGCTGACGGCAGAGACAGATCCTGGTTTTAAACGTAAAGTTTTCAAGAAATCTTTTGGGGAAATTGCAGCGATCCTGCAGCAGCGGTTTTGGAGCAGCGCTTTGGGGCAGGGGATGAGCTCCCGTGCCGTGCACCCGGCGGGGCGGCACGGAGCCACGATCGGAGCCGAAGTCTCCGAAACAGTCTTTCCCCGGGGATTTAATGGCCCCAAGAGAAGCAGAAGTGATTCTGTGTGTTAGAGCCACTCGGTCACTCCAGCTGGTTGACTGAGTGCTGAGGGAAGACTAACCTCTTCCAGGAAAAGCACTGGAGAAATTTAGAGAGGAAGGGCAGGCAGAGGGCAGAAAAACGTGGCCCAGACTTGCAGAGGGAACTAGCAGAGCCACTTAGGAGGTGGGGAC